AGCAGGGCAAAAAGCACTGACGTCTTTTACAGTTCTGCTATTGCCATTATCCATTTCAATGGGGTTTAAATGTAAAAGTGAAATTGATGGTGTTAAAGCATGAATTTCAATCATGCTAAGAAAGAAAGTATTGATGGGAGCTAGCAAGGGAATTCTGGACAAAAATATTGCAAAGGAGAAGCTGAAAGGCTGATTGCTGTAAGCACAGTGACTCAGTGTTATCAAGTTACAGAACTACCACACATTAAAAGATGTCAGTCCATGTTACATAACTCAGGATGAGGTGAATTTGTCCTTGTCAGTCTTATGGCAACCACCTCCTTTCTCCTTCCTGAGGTGGAACTTCAGAGGAGAAATCTTCAAGTCTTTACTCAGCTTTTTATTGGAGATTTAAGGTCTCCCTGCTCATTAATCTTTGTAGTGTGGGTGATTTCTTGTGGCTACAGACTATCATGTTTCTTGTAAAAATCATACCTTTGTAATTACAGGGCAGTGTTCTGTCTGAGCCTGAGTCTTTATGGAACTGTAGAAGAGACACTTCGTATCATGCAAATTATAAAGAGCACAGTAACTTGGGGTTAGCAAAGCTAATGAGAAAGAGGTAAGGCTGTTTTGCAGGAGCTTAATGAGTTGGATTTTAATTTCCACAGCAGAGAACCAGAGCCGTTAGCAACCTTGAGACAAATTGAAAACAGAATCGTGAAGTGTTACTCTGTCCCTCTGGCACAACTATTGCTCTGACCCCTGCTTGGATCCAGGCAAAGATCCATGACAGTTTCCTCTGGGGCTATGGCCAGCTTTTCCCTTGCCTGTCTCTGTGTGCCATGTGTCCTCAGGCTTAATGCCATCACCAAGAAACATGCAACTTTGTGGGAAACTCAGCCATACTGTGGGTTTATCATGGCTTGCAAACAACTGAAAAGGCTTGTCTGATGTCTTCATTTATTTGTATTTGTCCTTCCATAACAGCAGCATACTCTGTACCTGTATAATACGTTTAAATCTAATTTCAAACACTAAGCAAGCTTAAAACAACATAGCTGTCCAGCACAGCTGTGGTCTTGATTACAGAATTATAGATGAGGTTAGAAGGAAGAAAACACTATTATAATGTTACATTTCAGACTACACAATAAAAGTAGCTTTTATGTTATTTTAGATGTCGGAGGAGGAAAAGGCAAAGAAAGTGATGGTGTGTCTCCAAGTACCTCTCTTCCTATGTTCAAAATAGGAGCCATTCTGACTTCCCTATCTTAATCTTTGCAAGCCTACTCTGTCCCTGAAAAATACTGTCCCTCCTCGCTTGAGCGACTTTCTTACAAAGCAGAACATTTCTTTCTTAATCATGTCCCATAAGCACACCATTTGTAAGGAAATAATCATGACACAATAATCATGAACAACATGGATTACCAACATAGCATTTATAGTGTTCTTTCTAAATAAACTCCCATTCCCTGGGAGTTATCCCTGCTGCCATAACATCTACCCTGGGGTTTAAGTCACAGTCCCAGTTTCTTCCATCTACTGCTTGCTCAACCTGAAGTGGGAGAAGAATACCTGTAGGAACAATATGTTCAAACTCTTTGAGGAAAGGAGTGTGACAATGTGCTAAGAAAATTTGGAGGCATAGTGACTTGCAAAAGTTCCTAGTAAGTAACAATAATAACATGTACAGTGAATTTTTATTCAAGATTTCCTTAGGCAGTCCCTTTCTTATCAGCAAAACATCTCCATTGTACTCTTAATAAAATGTCTTTTATCCCCTGAAAGTGTTTTGAAATGAATGTGTACCAATGTGCAAAAACACAATTTTATCTTTATAGGAATTTATTATGAATAGTCTTTGAAAATGTCTCTCTCAAGCTGCAGGTTTTCCCATTCAATCTGCACAATTTGTATTTATCCTCTCCCCAGTAGCATCTGCAGCCAAGTCTTTCTGCAGACTCAAATCACAGCATTTTGAATGAAATGTAAAAACCTTAGTGATAGACTTCTTCAGTAGTCTAGCTGTAGCACTAAATAAAACAGGATTGATGTTGTCCCAGCAACATGATGACATGCATTTAGCTATCAACCCATCTGCCAGTATGGCCCTGCAGTTGTACTTTGCAGTGGTAGCTCTTTTTAAGTGTACTGTGGTGATGGTTTGAAATCCTAAGCGACGTGGCTGGATCCTGTTGGATAAACACACAGATAATACCTAAAAACTCTGAAGTCTGTATTTTACTTCAAAAACTAAGGAAGTGAAATTTTCTCCTCTGACTATACAAAGTAGTGATTGTGTACATGTGAAAATTATTTCCCTATAGAGGCAAGCCTGCTCTTTGGTCATGGCTTTTACAGTTAAGGATTCAACTTAGAGTGCCCCAGACTTGCAAACTGGGTCTATGATGAATTACATTGAATTCTTTCAAGTTTGCAAGGTAATTTTAAAAATATAAATAAAATAATACAAAATAAGCTGCTGTTTGATATAGCAGCTCCAACTCTTAATTATAGTAGTAATGATAATAATACACTGTATTACAGTGGAGGCTGCAGTTAAGGGACTAGGATCTCATTGCACCAGGACTTGAGAAAATAAAACAAAAATATGATCCTTTCAACGAAGCCATTCTCAATGCATCTGTGGAAAGTGATTAGTTAAGCCAGGTGTCTAACTTCTAGTTGGTGAGCCCTGTGAGGCTCACAGCAGATGGTGTGAACATGGGACCTGCATGCAGTGAGTGAGGGCTGGATGATGCTGGCAGGAAGGCTGGCCTGGGAAGCCTGACAGCAGAGCCCATTGCAGCTGCACTCTTAGGCTGGACCATGACATAGCTAAAATACTCACCCTACCCTCTTTTGGGATAGTGAGGTGGCTGAAGAGCCTGCCTCTGAAGAGATCTTTTTCTCCATTAATGCTTGAATTTCATAGCAGATTCCCCATAGCTCTCACAGCTCTTTTGCTTGTCTTATGTTCTTTGTGGTTTAGGCTTATAGCTTGGGTAATATTCAGAGAACATAAAGCTAGGGGTCTAAAGTCCTTAATTGATTTATAAAAACATGCAAGCATTTCTACAAGTTTATTCAGGGCAGTTAAATTAGCTCCTTACAAGGACTGCATCAATATATTCTCAATTTTTTTTTTTTGTTTCAATCCTGCTTATTTCATGTGAGTTGATTCAGCAAGAGGAATAAAAACTGTTTTGAGAGTCTGCCAAGATCTAGCATATATCTGTAGCTCACAGGAGAAGAAAATGTAGATGTTCAGGTACATCTGTAAGTGGGAAAACATATACGGAAGTCCATCTGAATCCTGTACTAACATATTATTGAGAAAACACTTGTGCACCCAGACCATAAGCAATGCTGAGCGGGCTCCCTGAGAAGTGAGATGGAAAGACACCTGAGACCATGAATGAAATAAAATTTCAAACCTTTTTTATCTGTGTTGCTTTATGACTAGGTATGTATTCAGAGGAAGACCTTGCAATTAGTTAGCAGACTTTTTTTTGCTTTTTTATGATATTAAGACTATTGACATTTCTGTAGAAATCATTAAGAATATTCAGTCTGGAAATTGCCAGTTTGTCTAAATAGAGTGAACAGTAATGCATCTTGAAAACCAGCTGACCTAGCCTAACTGATTTAGTCACAAAGCCATATATATGTTTTATAAATGCCCATTTTGTCCCATTTTCATTGCTCACACATGCATGTACACACATACACACAAAATCTCAGTTACAACTTTCCTCCTGGGATGCATTAAAGTAAATAGAAAGCTGCTTCTTTTTCCAAAGCCTCTCATTTTGCATTCTTGAGAGAGGCAGAATTAAATGGAGGGGATGGGATAGAAATATGGAACGCTTTTGCTTTGTATGTACTCATGTATTTCAAACTAAAGCCTTCTTCTGTTAATTCAGATGTTCAATTTAAATGTGAATACAGATTAATAAATTACACAAACTATAACGCTTTGGACTTGGGTGTGGGACAGTGGTGTTATATATTAGCAGTGTTGAGCTTCTGGAGCTTCAGCATGCTCATTCATATTCATGCAGTGCTAGCCAGAGAAATAATAGCATTATCACCTAGTTCAGCAATCGAATAGAAAATCAATCTCTGGTATTTTTGAAGGAATGGAAAGTAATTTCTTCTTGTGTTTAATAGCTGAAATACTAAGGACTCAGCTGTGGTGATTTAATGAGTGGTATTTTAATAAATTTCTGAATCTTCATGCATAAGCATCCTGCTGA